ATCACAGTGTACTGAGGAAAAAGTCACTCTGTGGCTGTTTTAGGGTTGGAACTTCTTTAGGACACATGCCTGAAGATCCTGTGGGATGAAACATTGCTTTTGCATGTTTTAGGAATTAAATGATGAAATTAGAGTCAAATATTGTCCGGGCTTTTTCCTCACCTAAAAATGTTTGCTCTTTTTTTCTAATGTTTGTCCACACTTTGGGCCTATTTCCTCACCACAGGGGAACCATGAAGTGTTTAGGATGTCCACTCTACCAGCATGCCTTATCTTATATGTGCCAATCATTGTGTTGCTGGCACTTGAAGGTGCTGGTACTGAGCTCTACATGATATGACCATATCATGCAATGTTATCCGCAACTTTACAGTTTGGATTATAAGGAGAGGAAACGATTTGATTGGTTGGTGGAACAGCTGTGGTGCAGCAGCATCTGTTGCTGTTCTCAGTTTTGTTTATAAAAAATGAAATGTAAAGCTGTCTTTTACATTATGGTTGATTTTTTTTTTTTTCTCCATTCTTCAACAGTAGACAAATAGCACGGCCCAGCAGTGCTCGCCCAGCACCTCCTCGAGTCAAGAGACAGGAAAGCTACACTGATGCGAGCCCGGCTGAGAGGTGACTTCATCATTCATATTCATTAATATTTCTTATGTTCAGATTATGCTGTGTGACATCATTCTTCGCCTAGTTTAGTTCCTACTAGATGTTGAGCCCATCTAAATGGTTTTTGAACAGTAGAGCAGTGCAGCAAGTCTAACCAGTCACACAGCAGTCAAGCAAGGCAACATGAATCTCTCCTCTTCGTGCTCCTGCCTTTTAAATCTTCTTTAGAATGAGTCGGTCTCTTTGTTCGTCTCTAAGGCTCTCTAGTGCCAAGCCCTCGGCACCCGTCATCATGGATGGAAAAAAGATCGCGGAGGAAGATGAGGATGATGATGAACAGTTTCTTGTGGAGGAGGCAGTCCCTCCACCCTCAGGTGCTCCTCAAGTGGAGGTGGTGAGTGACTTGAATGGTAACTTTTTCATAGAAAAATCTAAGCAAGGAGTAGTTACTATATGTTCTGTTATTCTTATCTATTACAGGAACCTACCCAAGAACTAGACAAAGATGAGAAACACGGTACAGAGCTACATTTAAAATATATATATGTGTGTGTGTGTGTGTGTGTGTGTGTGTGTTTTTAATTCCAGCAGTGCCTCATTTTCTTCTGAATCTCCTGAAATTATTTTTCTCTAACTGTAGGTGGCCTCGTGAAAAAGATCCTTGAGACCAAAAAAGACTACGAGTCGTCCCTGGTGTCCCTGAAATCTAAAGAACAGGTACAGACCGTGTAGAAGTATTTCGCTTTTGTCCACTAGAGGGCAATATTAGCCTGGCTCTTGCCGAAAAACTAGTCTCACCAAAAACCTGGGTTGAACCTTTCCGCCATCTCTCTCAGTCATTCTTTCTGGAAAGCTTGCTCCTTGGGAACACGTTCTTACCACACCGAAAAAACACAGCGCAACCCTGGTTATTATCAAAAGAAAGATATAAACAAGTGAAGTGGGGAGGTGTAATTGCACTGCCTCGAAACCACAAAAATGTTCCCCATCAGTGAAGCTGAAGGGCTAATAACCAAACAAGCAAGTATGGGCCTTAAAGGACCACACACACAATTAACACACTCATCAAGATGTCTGGAACAAAATGAGCTTGTTTTCTTGGGTTGCCCACTATCTCAAGTTACATACTGCTTTATTTTGTTAAAAGCATCTATAATCCCTGGAACAGGCTTTTTTTAGCTTGTGCCCTCTATTTTTTACACGTCTTTATACATATACATGTTTTTTGATGTGTGTTTTTGTTTTTTGGGGACTGGTGGGTTTCGCACACAGATCAGAAGCGTGCGGTTTTATCGTTTTTTTTGTTTTGTTTGTTTGTTTGTTTTTCTATTTTCTCCTCTTTGACTTTTAGACTTCATAATATACACGATTGACCAGTTTTCTCAAGGTGACATGCTTCTGCCATTGCTCACGTTCGACATTTCCCCACAGTCAGCCTTTGTATCAGCCAGCGAGAGACTTCCATCAATATTTGGAGTATCAGACAGTGTGAAGCTTGCAGTTTGGTCTGTAGTCCGTGGCGTGAGGTGGTGTATGCTGTCTGCTTTGGGTGGTCCACTTCACTGAAGCTGACCACCCTGACTCTGATGGATGCACTGTTTTGGCGTGTAACTCATGCAAAAACACCCTGCTGATCTATCTCTTCCTAACTGCGACTTCAGGCATCATCCCTCATAACTCACACCTGCAGGAATGTTTTGGCCCAGCTTTTAACAAACCTTACTGTTGTGCGAGCATGCACATGTGCAAACAGAAACTCACAGAGGAAACATTCAGAATAGCCGGCTCTTTGAGTAACGTGAGCGCACGCTTGCAGAGATTATTCTAATTTTCTTAATGTAGCCTCCTCAGATTTCAGGCCCTCCAGTCTGTCATGCTCGACTCTCCTGTGTGATCTGCAGTCGAATGTTCGCCCCTCTGCCGCTATTGGCCTTTCCTCGTCAGCTGTATAAAGAACTATAATGACTTCCTTCCTGACATGAAAGGGCGGAGAGGTCAGCTTAGTAGATTTTTTTTCTTTTATTGTAATCACAGTAAAATGCGCAGGCACAAAAATGTAAATATTGAGTTTCATTGGTGTGTGCAGTTTGAAATTACTGCTGCTGCAAGTGGTATTATTTTAATAGCAGTATTTAAAAACAGTGTCTGAGTAAGTTGCAAGACACACTGATTTAGCATCAGGCTCAGTACACACATCCTGGCCTTTTTGTATATTTGAAGTCTTTATTCTGTCCCACTTTGTTAGTCCTAATTTAATTGTGTTCTTTCTCTGCTGATGTAAATAAAGGGAACACTTAAACAGCCAAGTGATTGTATTTTGCCGTGTCCCAGCGCTGTGTGCATGTCTTTGCTGTATATTTTTGGGGATGACCTTCCTCATGACCTCTTGGTGGCCTTGTATATTATTCCGAGATAGTTCTCTTTTTATTTAGACAGAATCCGCTCCTTGCAACAGCTGCGTTTTCATAAGAATTTTTGTGTACTTTTTCCCCCCCATTAAATTAGCCTTGATGAAGGTTTGTAGTGTATAAATAAACCCCGTGGCATACAAATGGATGGCTGTTGAGTGAGAGTCACGGAGCAGGAGGGCCAGAATACTCTCTGCAGAATTGTCAAGAAAATAAATACTCGGCTCTCCAGACCTCTGTGTCTTCATAAACATGGAGCGTTTTTTGTGGAAACATGAGGAAATGACCCTGTGGCATTCCATTAGTCACATTACTTTTTTAGAGGTCATATTGACAGGTTTTGGTCAGGTTTATGAGTAACCTACCTGAAGGCAGCTGAAAATTGTTTTCTGGCTTGAACTCCACCTTGATGATATATTTAATACCTTCAAAGCCGTCGCTCCATGAGAACCTCTTAAAGATTATGAAGCTTTTTTAAAGCTCAGTTTCCATTTTCCTGTTGCTGCAGTACAGCCAGCGGTCCCCTGGAAGTTTCCTCTCACTTCACCTGACACCCCAGGGGTTTGCTCCTCGATGTCTCCCCAGTGGGCCACAATGACCTTCTAACAACATCCTGTGACCTCATTTTTTTCCCCTCCTTACTTCACTGACTTCAAACTATTTTTATGATCTAGCAAGACTTCTGAATAAACTTTTAGGAAAACTAACCCTAAATCTCATTCTGTGATTACGCTTCCTGGCTCACCTCTCGGGTTTTTTACAGGAAAACAGCTGACATCTGCTGTGACGGTAATAACCAGGTTTGCCCTCTCTTCTAAGGAAGCTGATGTTACGCCATCAGTGACACAGCTCACGTCTAAATCATTGTTTTCCCAGTTAATCAGACCCTAAAGATTGCTGTGCCACTGACAGGCTCCATGTTTTCAAGCCATTTTTCATGTCAGAGGATTCTTTGAAGAATGTTTTTCTCCGACGCCAGAAAATCCCCACAAGCGCTCCATAAATCACATTTTTTGCATGCATTTCCTAATTAAGCTCATTAGGCATGTGATGACTGAGTGAATTTTACTTTGTATTGTACCTCACCATGTCATAATCAAGTGTTTGGAGATTTTCGGGTCTGCCGTCCCAACTTAAGAAGGAGGTTTTTAAATGTAATGAATGCAGCTCCACGGGACAGAGAAAAGGTTTAAACCTTCGAAAAACCTCCTAAAACCTCTTTGTTTTGAGTCCACAGCCACTTCTTTGGCATAAGCCAAAGGTCGTGTCTTCCTTTTGCATCGTGCTTTTATCGCCGTCTAAGATAATGGGAAAACCTGCCCCTTTCCTCCTCTCTCGCCCCTGCGCCTCTGCGGTCACCTTGTCTAAATATTGTTCTGTGATCTGGGTGAGAAGAAGGAAAACTAGGAGCACACAGGTCTCGCAGACACCGACGGAGACCTCCATAAAGCTTGATTTATATCTACATGGACAGAGTGCGCACGTACAAGGGGTCATGTTTTCATGCCAAGTTTTTTATTTTCCAACAGAGAAGAAGTGGTGGGGGTGTGGAGGTAGCATGGGGATGGCAAACAGAATGAAGCCATGGGTCCTGTCTGGGCTGTGCAGACCAAACCGCAGCCAGGCAGGCCGAATGAACCATAGAGTATTTGTCTAGCTGCAGGGTTCATGGTGCGCAGTGGAAAGCCACCCACCTTGTTGGGGGGACCAGCAGGCCAAGGCATTTCAGCCCTCACACTCTTGCGCTACCACAAAGGAACAGCAGAGCGAGGTCGACAGAAGTGTGTGCTTTCCCTCTGCAGAGAAATGGTGGCAAACAATAATGTTTGATGTCATTTCTGCTGTGTGGTCTCGTCTAGTCGAGCTGCTTTTCAGAATTGTAATTAGTGAGGCGATTGGTTTGTTTTAAGAGGTGGCTTGATAAGGCAAAAGCTACATGTGCCAGCTACGCCAACCATATGTGCTCCACTGCTCCGTTGGGGGCGTGACAGTCGGTGTGTTTGAATGAGGAAGCTGTCATTTAGTTTGCACTGTGCTGCAACTATGAATTCCTCTGCCTCGTGAAGGCAGGTGCTGCCATTTGTGAAGCCAAATAGCATAATTTGGGCCAAGCTTGAAAGGAGGCATAAGTGTAGGAGTTGTTACTTAATACTTTAGTAAAATAACCCCACTGCCACAGCCTGTTACTAAAATAAACAGGACTTAAAGACCAAGTTTGCTGGTGGGGGTTGTTCACTGTATGCTTCGTCTGATCCTCTGGTTGGTGTTTGT